AGATTGGTGTTGAACTTGCACCTGTGTTTCTGTACAAGTCCCTGTCTTCTGTGTCTCACCAGGTGCCCGCAGAGCCAGTTCCCAGCTCTCTCCCTGGCAGCGGGCTGCTGCTACATTACTCCCAGGAGAATTCACACAATCACAGTGACTGTTCCGAGGAGTTTAGGCAACAGCTTCCATACAAAGAAGATAAATCCCAAATTCCTTTGGAGTCTGATTCTGTGGAGTTCAATAATGCTATCAGTTATGTGAATAAGATCAAAACACGTTTTCTTGACCATCCAGAAATTTACAGATCCTTTTTAGAAATTCTGCATACTTACCAGGTGAGAAGTCTTCCACAGAAGCAATTGTGGGTTTGTACTGCAGCTGTTTGAGGAGAGGCTGTCAAATGAAATGTCTGCCTATTAAACAGGCGTACACAGTTCCCAAGCACTAACCTTTCTCCAACAATTCCCTCATAGATACCCACATGTAATGACAAAAGTGTGAAAATTGTAGAACTTTCCAGGGTCTGAGGTGTGAAGGGGTCGTAGCTAGATCTGTCTTTACTCTCCTTCGGTTGATTGAGTGATATCCTGTGTGAAGGGACATGCTGTGAGAACCTTGGGCTAATCTGATAATTCAAGTTTGTGTAGCATAAGGTTTTTGGCTGAGTTGATGTTTCTTGCCTAGTGGATAGTCCTTGCATAGCGAGGTATGCTTTTGACTCTATTTAACATCTGTGTGTATCTTTTCAGAAAGAACAGCTGAACACTAAAGGCCGACCCTTTCGGGGCATGTCAGAGGAAGAAGTGTTTACTGAAGTAGCGAATCTGTTCAGGGGACAGGAGGATCTGCTTTCTGAGTTTGGACAGTTCCTCCCAGAAGCTAAAAGGTCTTTGGTATGTGTATGCTTAAAACAAGGCAGAATATTGAATACTCCCTGTATGTAGAATACATGAAGAAGCTTTAGGAATGCAAATCATGGTGGAAAAACATAGAGCCAGTAAATGAACTTTGCTCCTCTTCAGTGTTCAGAATTTCCTAGAACAGGTGGCTTAACTACGTGCTCTGTGTCCTGTTCTGATATACAGGATTCTTGATTTGCGCCGAATGAGAACATTGAAATCGTTATTTATTTACTTCAGTTCACAGGAAATGGACCATGTGAAGTGAACAGTGTCCAGAAAACTGAGCATGAGAAGAATCTGGAACACAGCAAAAAGCGATCCAGACCGCTGCTGCTGCGTCCTGTTTCTGGCCCAGCAAAGGTATCTTTTAGCAAGTAAAAACTTAGAATAACCCCTGTGTTTAGATAATTGCTTAGATGAAGTTGTCATGACTAGCATCCTTGAGGTTTGTAGGTACTAGGTACAAGAAGCCAAATTTCAAAGTTATTTTTAAAATAACTTTAAATAAAAATCTAAAATTTTAAAGTATGCTTAAATGTGTGTGGTAATACGTTGAATACTAAATATCAAGACCTTCTGTACTAAGTATTGGTCCTGGAAAGGGGCAGCTTATTGCTTCTACAGAGAAATCTTTGGAATTCTTTCTCAAGTGATCTTTTTTTTTTTTTGTTCTTCTTAGCTGGGGGTCATTTGATAGAGGTTGCTGTGAAGGACTTGACACAGCAGTGCTAGATCGTTATTAGGGAAATACAGAGTTCCAGCCTTTGCGGAGAGCTGTTATATTCAGCAAAGTGGAATTTGAGAGCATTTGAGTTACAACATTTTAAGTATAACTCTTTGTCCTTTTAACAGAAGAAAATGAAACTGCGAGGTACCAAAGACCTGTCAGTAGCAACAGTGGGAAAATACGGAACGCTACAAGAGTTTTCCTTCTTTGACAAGGTCAGGATTTGGCCTGTTCTTACATTCTGTGGACTTAGATTCAGCCATTTATGTGGTTATTAATTGGTTGGTTTTCTGTACAGTCTGTGTGTCAGCACTTGGCAATTGCCTGACTTTTCAGTAGAGAAAGATAGACCAAGAAAAGAGAAAATAGGTGGGTTTGGAAGATTAATAGAAACTGATAATTAACCTTTTCCTGAATACTTATCTCTTACAGAGACATTTTTCTCTTATTTTTCAGTGATATTACCTCATGGTACCATCCATAGTTCTAGATTATTGTTTGACACTGGGCATTTTTGTGCATATTCTCTTCATATGTTGCAGTGTAGACAGAGGTTTGTCACTGTACCCATGGTTCAGACTGCTTAGAATATGAACTAAATAAAAGTGGTGTTTGAGTGATCTGATCATTTCTCTCCAAACTGTGCTTTAGGTCCGTAGGGTCCTGAAGAGCCAGGAAGTCTATGAAAATTTTCTCCGTTGCATTGCTCTCTTCAACCAGGAGTTGGTTTCTGGCTCTGAGTTGCTCCAGCTAGTTACACCATTTTTAGGGTAAGGCACTCACTACCTTTTCTGCTGTGTCGTACTTTTTAGGTCTTATTTTGTTACTTTTTGGTAGACGTTGTGAACTTTGGTAATGAAGTTTTGGATTTAACTTCAGAAATACCTCCTAGGTAGCGTGCAAGAAATTAAAGGCTAGTCCAAAAAGAGGAGTAATACAATCTGAATCTTTTAATATATCTACACAGCTCTTAAGAGCATTTTGGGGAGGATATTTTCTTCTGTGCATCCAACTGAAAGCCTCACAAGCAGCAGACTATCTGATGTTATACTAAATCATTGGGGGCTAAGAATCTCATGAATTCTGGAGGGTGGTCTCTGTTCACACTCCCTGTTCTATGCAAATACAAAGCAGGTATAAACATGAAATCTCAGAAGAGAGCTGTGAAAAGGATAAATAGTTTGAGCTCTGATAGGAACCTCTCGTGCTGTTTGTCTTCCAGCAGAAGAGGAAGAGTCACATGGCAAGGATCAGTGACTCCTCAGTCAGTTAAGGGGAGTATTTGTGAAGTAGTGAAGGGAAATTTTTTTCCTGCCTTAAGTCAGAAAAAACCCTAAAGTAATTCAGAGAGAATGAAAACAGAGGTAAAACATTGGTGAAAGATTTCTCACTGCAATTCTAATTTTGTTTAGATTTTCTCCCTCACTCATGACATGCATTAGCCACCCTAAAATTGTCAGAGTGACATAACAGAATACACTTACTTGTGTTTTTGAAGGAAATTCCCAGAACTCTTTGCACAATTCAAGTCCTTTCTTGGCGTGAAAGAGCTTTCATTTGCTTCTCCACTGAGCGACCGATCTGGGGATGGAATGAGTCGAGAAATTGATTATGCTTCCTGCAAACGCATAGGATCGAGTTACCGGGCTCTCCCCAAAACCTACCAGCAGCCAAAGTGCAGTGGAAGGACAGCCATCTGCAAGGAGGTACCTTGGGCCAACCTATTCCACCCCTGAACACACACTGCACCTCCCTACCTTGGAGTGGGGTAGCTAAGGCTCGTGCCTACGTGTGGATCCCCCTCTTTAATGCTGATTAGCCAGCTCTAGCCTCACGTCAGTTATTCATCCAGTTTATTGAAATAACAGTATCCACATGCATTTCACTAATTGTGTCTAAATCCATCTCAAATCGTGTCGTTCACTTTAATGTCTTTTGAGTCTGCATGCTTACACAAACTTATTCCTATAGACAGAAAATATTCACTTAGCCTGAAATTAATTTTCTAGCAGTGGACCAACATGGCCTTTTAGAAAGAATTTTTCTCCTGAAAATGCACCGTGAGTCAGTGTCTCGGGCACTGTTCTCCCTGAGGACACGCATCTGCAGCAGAGGTGCTCCCACCTCTCGCTGTTGTTGGCAACTCTGTCCCCTTTATTTATAGTTTCTGATGACTGCAGAGTGATCTCTGTGGTTTGGGAGGTGACAGTGAAGGAGCTTTCGGAGCAGGACCCTGGCACAGTTCCACACAGACCTCTGACCTTCCGAGGAGCTGTTGTAACAGCGATGTGTGACCTAGGTCTGAAACTTCCAATAGAAACTCGGGCAAGAACTGTGTAAAAATAAACCAGAGAAGTATCAGACCCCATGAGAACAGCTCTGGGCTCATTAGGCATGCTCAATGTCATGTCTTTGCACTGTTGCAGGTGTTAAATGATACCTGGGTTTCATTTCCATCCTGGTCTGAAGACTCCACTTTTGTCAGCTCCAAGAAGACCCCTTATGAGGAGCAGTTGCACCGCTGTGAGGATGAGCGGTTTGAGGTACCTCTGCTATGAAGCTTCCTTCCTGCCTCTCTGCCTCCTCAGAAAGCAAAACTTCCAGCTATGAGGATTTTGACTGAATTAGGTGGCCCATTACTGGCAGTTCTGCTAGTGTTTGTTAGTTTGAGCTAGAGTGTGGTGTTTTCCACTTGCTTGGAGTCTAGTAGTTCTTTCTAGGCATGAGTCCAGTTCTAAAAAGCATGTTACCTTCGGGAGAACCAGCAGAGGTACATTTTCCAGTCAGAAACCTTGCTGATGCCTCTTAGCTCCACCCAGTGGGGCTGGGACGAATGCCACAAACCTGAGCACTGCTGGTCTCCATTTTCCTGCTGTGCCTCTTCTTACACTGTGTCTTTTGTGAACTCTTAACAGTTGGATGTTGTCTTGGAGACCAATTTAGCCACAATACGTGTGCTGGAGAGTGTGCAGAAAAAACTGTCACGACTGACTCAAGAGGATCAGGAGAAATTTCGCCTGGATGATTGCTTGGGAGGAACATCAGAAGTGATCCAGCGCAGGGCCATCTATCGTATCTACGGTGATAAAGCACCAGAGATCATTGAAAGTCTTAAGAAAAACCCAGTTACTGCAGTTCCTGTTGTTCTTAAGAGGTAATTCCCATTCTCTGGTGTTCACCTGGGTTCTTTAAGAAACTGATAAAGGATTTTTAAAGCATTTTTAAACAACTGCTTTCTGTAGATGTTGTTTCAAAGGATAACTCGTCTTCAGTGGTGGTGCTGTTATTTATTTGTTTGTTTGTTTGTTTGTTTATTGCTCCCAGGAATACTGACAAGTTTTGGGCGTGTGACAGTTGGCCACACTAAAAATGCTTTGTGCTTATTTCTGTGGTTGTCTATTTGAACTGAAGTCGATTATACATTTATGCAGATTGAAAGCAAAAGAGGAGGAATGGCGGGAGGCCCAGCAGGGCTTCAACAAAATTTGGAGGGAGCAGTATGAGAAAGCCTACTTGAAGTCCCTTGACCACCAGGCCGTCAACTTCAAACAAAATGACACCAAAGCTTTGCGCTCCAAGAGCTTGCTGAATGAAATTGAGAGTGTCTATGATGAGGTGTGTATGCTAGAAAATAACCCACCCTGTCTGCCCTTCCTTTGTAGCATTATCTAGATGTTTACGTAGCACCTGGGACCTTGTTGAAGTGCTCTGAAGAGTTCTCAGTCAAAAGGACTGTCCCAAGCGTAGCGTTAATACTGGCTGTTTTCTTCTGGCAGGAATGGCTCTTGAGCATGGATTGGAAGGATCTTTATCTATTTGTCTCTTGATTACAGCATCAGGAGCAGCATTCAGAGGGGAGAAGTTCGTCCACAAACGAGCCTCATCTTATCTTTATCTATGAAGATAAGCAGATTTTGGAAGATGCAGCCTCTCTTATCAGCTATTATGTGAAAAGGCAGCCCACTATCCAAAAGGAGGATCAAGCAACCATCCGGCAGATAGTGCATCACTTCATACCTGAGCTGTTTTTCTCTCAGCCCCCTGAGCACAGTATTTCTGAAGAATCAACAGATGAGGACAGAGAAAACCATCAGGGGCAGAACCTGGAGACTCCTGAGCTACGGAAAAAACATGTGCCTGGGCCTCCAAGCAGTCCTTTGGAGACAAAAGCAACCTTCTGTGATGTTACAGCTGCTGAACCCCACAACACTCTGGATGATGTTTACAGTCTGTTCTTTGTCAATAATAATTGGTATTTCTTCCTCCGCCTTCACCAGACTCTGTGCTCAAGGCTCCTAAAGATTTATCGTCAAGCTCAGAAGCAGCTTCTAGAATATCGGACCGAAAAAGAGAGAGAGAAGCTCCTTTGTGAGGGAAGAAAAGAAAAAACCAATGATCCAGCCATGGAACTAAGACTGAAGCAACCAAGTAAGAATAATCCGGGACATTGTTCTTAATGCTCCGGTTGCTAGTACTTGATTGTATATATCTGAGTAAATGAGACCAGCAGGCAAGTCTGTAAGGACTGTGTTGGTGCAGATCTCCACTATATTTGTGATTACTGGATACAGCTAATTAAACAGGACAGCTAGTTTGTAATTTTATCTTCTGAGAGCTCGCACACTTAGTTCATAGGACTTCCCGCAGGCCTGCTGTTGTCAGATGTTCTCAGGTGTCTCATTGTATTAATCTGTTACTTTGATTTAAACTGTAAATGGCTCCACAACAAAATAGTTAACTCCACAAGGGAAGTGCATGAGATAAAACTGTGAGAGTCTGTCAGCACTCTGCACAGAGAGCTGTCTGTAAGGTGTCCTCGAGACCGAACGCCGCGGCTCGTGAGCACTGTTCTCCCTTGGATCTCTCGACTTCACTCTGCCTCTTAGAAGCGTTAAGTGACGACTCTTTTCCCCTGCCCAGGTGAGGTGGAACTGGAGGAGTACTACCCCGCCTTCCTGGATATGGTGAGGAGTCTGCTGGACGGGAACATCGACCCGACGCAGTACGAGGACACGCTGCGGGAGATGTTCACCATCCACGCCTACATTGGCTTTACGATGGACAAACTGGTGCAGAATATTGTCCGTCAGGTAACTAACGTGATGGCTGTGCTGTGTGTTGGGGGCTGCACGTCTCCCTCCTATAGATTGGTAGCTGTCTCACAGTACCCTCTAGTGCAAGGACTTGCTAAACTTGAAATTCAGAGCAAAGTTTATCTGTAGGGGAAACACCCTAACAGAAGTTCAGTGAGATAGTTCAGCTTCAGTACAGCCCCTTAAGGGATTTACTCTTCCTGGCCTTTTCCAACTTTTTTTAAGTCCCAGTCTTTTCAAAATCCTGCTGTTCCCAAAATACATCTAAGGCAAAAATAAACATCCAGTCCTTTTTACTCAGATCTTTCTTCTAAGTATAGTTTTGTTACAGTTAAGGCACATGAGCCTAAGGCACACTCTTGTCTGTTCCTTTCATTGCAAAGTAATGAAAAAGAGAGTGAAATGTGGGAAGCCTCTGGAGTTAAAGCTGTGGTGCTTCATGTGAGGCGTGATGCTGGGCTGAGTTTCGTGCTCCTCTCATGACACACTAGAGTTAACTCTTGGCCTAGACTTGCTGACTGAATTCCCCCTTTTTTAATGGAAGCTTCACCATCTAGTGAGCGATGACATCTGCTTGAAGGTTGTGGAGCTCTACTTGAACGAAAGGAAGCGAGGTGCTGCTGGAGGTAACTTATCCTCTAGGTGTGTCCGGGCAGCAAAGGAGACCAGCTATCAGTGGAAGGCTGAACGTTGCATGGCGGATGAGAACTGTTTCAAGGTAAGAATTTGCTGCCAGGGAACTTCATAAAGTGACGGTGGCTCTTCACCGGGGAGAAATGGGTTTGGAAGCTCCAAGGCCACACTGGTGAGAGGGAGCAATGTGGAGAGAAGGTGCCAAAGCCAGAGCACAGACAAAGCAGCAGGCTCACTTCTCTCCTCGCTCATATTTATTTAATAATATCCAGCATTTTATTGTGAACCCATGAGGCCAATATCTTGTGCTTGTAACTTCATTACAGGTAATGTTTCTTCAGCGGAAAGGACAGGTGATCATGACCATTGAGCTGCTGGATACGGAAGAAACCCAGACAGAAGATCCTGTGGAGGTCCAGGTAAATATCACCATGGAGCCTGCTGTAGCACAGACAACGCAGATGTCTGAGAACACTTTCTGCTTTCTTGATCCAACATGTGAGACTTTGCTGGGAGTGGGAGGATTACAGGTGGGGCAGTGGTCACTGACAGAAACGGGTATGTTAGCAAAAGACTTTCAACATCAGTCAGCTACGTAAAAAGCAGCTTTTTATAAGAAATAACAGATATAAAAGAAATAAACTAGTGCTTTGCAGTGGTGTTTGTCTTGAGAGCAAAATCTGACTTGAAATGTCCTTCCCTGTGTAGCACCTGGCTAACTACATGGAGCAGTATGTTGGGGTCGAAGGAGCTCCGAACAACCAGAATGATGGCTTCTTACTGAAACCAGTCTTTCTGCAGAGGTGAGTGCCCTCCCTCTCCCGAGGCACGCCTGCAGCGGCTGGTACTGCTTTCTCTCTGCATATCTGGCAGCGATTTTACAAGGAGCTCGAGGGAAATGCGCTCAGCTCTGAGGACCAAAGGGGCTGCTCTGGTCCAGCGCACTGCGTAAGAATGCTGAAGAAAAAATTTATGACCACTGCATTGAGGTTTGTATTTAGGATGGAGTGGGACTGTTTAAGCAGTCCCTTCTGGGAGGAATTTGGGGTCACGTTTGTTCCCATTTCACTAAATATTTGTCAGAGTGTGTGGAGGAAAATCCTGGAGAAAGTCTGAAAACTACATGAAATACAAATGTCATACTTGTGCTGTCAGCTCTGCTAGCTGCAGGGAATGGATAACCGAGCGTGACACGTGCTCCGTAATCCTTGTTTTGTTCTAGAAACCTAAAAAAGTTTCGCAAGTGGCAGTGTAAGCAAGTGAGAGCTCTGCGTAGCGAAGTGAAGAGCTCCTGGAAGAGGCTGATTGGGGTGGAAAGTGCCTGCAACGTGGACTGCCGGTTCAAGCTCAACACCCACAAAATGATGTTCATCATGAACTCGGAGGATTACATGTACAGGCGGGGAGCTCTCTGCCGAGCCAAGCAGGTGCATCTCCTATTACTCTCTCTGCAGCTCAGGCGGTAGCAGAGGTTGAGGATGTGAGCCAAAAGACAGGTACCAATAAGAAGTCTTGTGGCTGAGTTCCTGCAAACTACACCCAGAAGTTACTACTCTGTGTTGGATGAAACATGGAGGAGAGCTGGTAAATGCTCTGTACTTCGGTTTAGTTTAGCAGCCTTTTCTTTACCGTGCAAATTTTAAGGGGGAGTAGCAAACGTTAAGAAGTAGAGCTCTTTAAAGGCAGGTATGCGCTTTCCTGTTCACTGTTTGCGTTGTGTTGTAAAGCACGTGCATCTCAGACGGAGAGAGAGGTGCAGGTTTGGGCTTCTCCCCCAGAAACCTCTCAGTGATCTTTCCCCGTCCTGCTTTCAGGTACAGCCGATGGTGCTGCTGAAGCACCACCAGCAGTTTGAAGAGTGGCACAATAGGTGGCTGGAAGAGAACGTGACCATGGAGGCAGTTGACGTTGTTCAGGACTGGCTCATGGGAGATGAAGACGAGGAGATGGTGCCCTGTAAAACCACCTGCGAGACGGTGAATGTCCACGGGGTCCCGGTGAACAGATACAGAGTTCAGTACAGTCGCCGTCCAGCTTCACCCTGAGCAGAGACTTGTTCCTGGGACCAAGAGAAGTAGGAGCGTTTGCTGGTGAAACACATTTACTCTGAGAATAGTGGTGGGAATGCAATGTATGTATTAATGATATTTATCCAAACAGCATTTTACTTTGGATTATGATGTATTTTCCATATGGCATAGACTTGTCTCCTTGCAGTGTAATCCTCCAGCCGTCATGAAGAGACTTTTAAAAGCTTTATGGGAAGAGGGCTCTTGGCATTGCCACACACTTTTTAGTAATTTCCTAGCTTTAGGCCACTGCTGACCAGCCCGTACGGGAAGGCTGAGTGAGGGGGTGAGGCTCTGGGCGAGCTACCACCAGTGGCTCTGTTGGAGAGATGGAGCTGGGCTGGTGTTTGAGCAGATGCTGGCAGCTGCTTCCACATGGAAGGGTTTAATGTTCCCTATCTTCCTGAATTTACGCCATCTTGGAGCCTGCAGAACTCTTTGGTGTAACCTCCAAGTGCCAGCGGGGCGGGGAGCGCCGGGCACAGCTCGCAAGCCCCGCGACGGGCCGCTCCCTTAGCGATGGGTACTCATCAGGCTTGGTCCTGGTGCTCTGGTGAGAAAAATGCCAAAACTGAGACAAGGGTGAACAGCGTTACTACACGCTCTTAACTCTCACTCATCAACTGAAGGATTTTGGAGCATGAACTGAGGGAAGGAGCTCTCTGCGCTGCCGCACTCGGCAAGACGTGCGCCGCGTCCCTGTTGTTGCTTTGTGAACTTACGACCTGCTGCAGACTCTGCCTTCTCAGATCTGGAGCTGCTTGGAGCGTGTGCGTGGGGAGGAATATCCATTGCGAGGTCTGGCCTGATTGTTTTGGGGGATTTTTTTGGTAATTTTTGTTTTTTTCTTTTTGCTATTTTGCATGTTGATTGGCAGCCTCTGGAGACTGCGTCTTCAGGCGCTTGGCTTTCCTTGTGCATGCCCGGCTCCGCGGTCCCGCTGGGTTGTAGCACTGCAGGAGCAGCAGCAGATGGAGCTCTTGCAGCGCAGCGTTTGTCCTGGGTCTGAGGTTTGCCCCAGATACTTCCCTGTTTCTGCTGGCTCAGCACAGATGCTGTATTTGCAGTGACGCACGGAAATCTGTAACGGGCAGTGTTAGATCCAGCCACAGCCATCGCAGACGAGCTTTTCCAGTGAACCATTTGTACTTCGACCCAAGCTTTTTTGCAATGAAGCCTAACAAAAAACCTACCCCAAATCATGCAGAACACTACGTCAATTGTCTGACTGAATCTATTGAAAAATCAAGAAAATGTAGTTGTGTCTGTCCTGCAGCCCCACTGTGACTTTGCTCTTGGTTTTTAGGGGCCAAGGGCAAGCAAACTGTCTGTGGAGTGTATTACAGTGTCTTGAGGCAGGTCCAGCCTCCTTTCAGCTCTGCTTCCAGCTTTTTCCTGGCTTTTGGGGGAAAAAACCCCCACCCCGATATTTTCTGTGGCTTTGATTTTTAGGTTATAATTTCTGCCAGACCTGAGTAGCAGCCTGTAGGATTTGTCCTGGGTTATTTCCACTGTACAACATTTGGTTTTGCAATTGTCTCACTTGACAGTAGAAAAATTGGCCTTTGGGGTACGTTTAATAGAAAACTGTACTGACTCTTTGTCTTTTTTGCAAAATAATCTGTAGGAGGGAAGGAGGGAGGCCAGTCTCTGGCATTTGTGGCCACTTGCACAACCACTGCCAGCGGAGGACTTTTCATTAAGAACTGATGTTCTCGTTGTCTGGGTCTCTGTGAAATTTTGGTTACTGAAATGATCTGAAGGTTCTTCCCCTGATCTTGTTGCAGGAAGTGATAAAAGACACTGACAGCGATGGGAGGGCTGGGTGGAGGAGTGGGGGGACAAGCCCCGTGCAAAGCACAGTATCCCCCTTTTGCTTCCAGACCGCTCAACGAAATATGCCTCAGTCCTGTTCACCTCTCTGCTGTCTTCCAGTGGAGATGACAACTGTGCCAAATTTTATGCTTTTATGATACAGAAAAATGTTTACTAGAGAATAGGTTGCAACTTGTGGCTTAAAATGCATTTGATTCCAAGTGTACCAAGGTGTAGGAGGGTAACGCACCCATGCACCGTCCTGTTCCATCTCCCCATTTTTAAGTGTACTTCAGGTATTTTTAAGCATCCTTATTTTGTAAACCTTAATTTATAATCTGAACAGATTAAGTAAAACTTTTGCCCTTTACAGTGCTATTGTCTCAAAAATGATAGTAGCAAATGATGTGAATGGACTAAGCAGGCAGTGCAGGTTTGAGAGTGGCTTGCTAATGTCTGAGAGTTTAAGCTCGGCCGCTGTGTATCTGCTAGCACGACCTTGATTCAAGAGTTTGTTCTTCCATTTTTTTGAAGGATCTTTGCTTTTGGGCTTGTAATTGCTTTGCCAGCTCTTTGAATGTAGTTTTTTTTATATTTATTTGCACATTCAAGTAAAATAAAATATTGATTTTAAAAGTCCGCAGCTCTCACTGGTTTGAATTTGTTTTAAATCAATTTAAACTTTCTGACAATCCCCAGAATTTATTGTCTTGCACCTGAAATTGAATTTTAAATAGTAGAAAAGTACAATTAAAAAGTTGGATGAACTTCCCTTGGAGCAGTCGCCGGACAGGCGGTGGGATGTAACGATTTAGATGTGGACCAGCAGGCAGCAAATCTTTAACCTTCCCCGTGCAAGCAGCTGGTGCTCGGGAGGTGTAGGTAAGCTGGCCCGCTGGCTAACAGAAAAGGGAAATGAGTTGCCCACAAGCAGCGTGCAGGAGGTGGCTCTGGGCTCGCTGGGTGCTGCCAGGAGCGCTGGGAGCAAAGACCAAGCGCTGGGGGGGAGCCCAGGGAGGGGGGGCAGGGGGTGGCATAGTTGATCCATGCAGAGAGAGGTTTCAAAGGAAAAGCAAACAGATGCTCTTGCAGGTTGGTTTACTCCTAGCAGCACCTTTGCCATGAGAGGTGTGGCACAAAAATAGGGTCCAGGCCTGGCCCCCAAGTACTCGCACGCTAAATGCAAGAGATGTGGAAGAAAAGCGACTGATTCCAGTTCCGAAATCTGTCAGCACATCTGCTACAGGTTAAGACAATGCAACTGCAACCACGAAAATAACCCTCCACCCACCTTTCCCTCAACCTCCCCAAATTCCTGGGTAATAACATGTTTAACTGTGTTCCCTGTGAGCTCTGCACAACAAATGAATGTGTAGATTTTGCAAATTAAGCTGTAGTGATGTGACCCAGATCTGATAGGAGTTTCCTTTACATCATTCTCAACACTTCCGTTGCCATAACAAAAGGCAACTCTGCTTTCTGCGCAGCGTATCGCTTGCTCACAGGGAAACAAAGTGTTGTTCTCCTAATAACAATCCTCTGATGCATAAATTGCATGGAATAATTTGATTAAAATGATGGCAGCGGTGTCTCGGAGGACACCGTCCACTTTACGCAAGTCTCCTCGCAGAGATCTTGGACTTCTCACAGAAAGGACGTTCCCTGCGCTCAAGGGGAGGGACAGCCAGGTCTGACATCACCCACGAGCAGTCGGAGATCTCAGCAAGTGGACAGCCTTGGCAACGACAAAGGAAGACAGCTTAAAAATACCTTGTGGGTTTGTAGGATGGAATAAGAATTAATGGTTTTCTAAAATAAATTAAGAATTGCTAAAGGGAATACCTGAATTCAGTATTTAATATTTCAGGACTTTTTTTTTTTTTTTTTTTTTTTTTTTTTTTTTTTAAACACGTTTCCCTATCACAGTGATGCACAGAGAGGAAGATGGGGCTGTGAAGCAGGGAGAGAGTCTAGAAGTATGCGTGTAAACATGAGTGGAGTTTTTTCTTTATGCTTTAGCCATTCCTCTGGATTAGGACTAAATAATTCAACCTTAATGAAAGTAGAGGCATGCGCTACCTTCCACTCATCGGATTTAAAGACTAAATTCAAGTCTAGCAATTCTAAACCATACCTGTGCTAAAGGATGGAGCTAAAAAGAATCATCTGAGACCAGGTGCTGAAGAGGGATGATGGTGTCTGTTACCTGGCAAGGTAGCCCCTACCCCAGTGCCATTGTATTGCTGAGAAAGGACCAAAAGAAGCTGTTCCAGAACACCTAGTGAGTTGTAGTGATGCTAATAAACTTCAAACATTCCTGAAAAATGGCTTCGTGTGGCTTTCCTGTGCTCTGAAGTGAAAACTGCAAGCAGGCAGAAGAGTAGTTCTGAAAAAAAAAACCCCAACCTGTCTCCCCTGCATAAGGCTTACAGGGGTGAGAATGTGGGCACAAAGGTTGTGGTGTAACCGAGGGAAAAGACTGGGTGGGATCCCAGGGGCACAGGAGATCTGAGAGAAGAGGAGAGAGGCAGGGAAAAGGCCTGGAGCTGTGGAGAGTCTCAGGGTGGTGCAAGACCTGGCAAAGTGAGAGGAAGGGGAGCTGGTATCATGGCACGGAGTCAGGAAGAGCCTCCGAGGCATGACGTTGTCTTCTATGTGCCAGAGTGCAAAGACAGACCCGGGGGGTGGTGCTGGTCCAAAGGCCCATTTCGATAGTCAGTGGAAGTTTTCTGTGCCGTGAGGCTCTGAGGAAGCGTGGGTGCTCGCACGCCCAGCGTGGGGAAGGCAGGGCTGGCCTTGTGTCCAGGGAAAACGGGGGGTTGTGCTGACGCTGGTGGAAACGCTTGATGCTGCTGGTGTGGGCAGAGGGGCTGCCTCCCGTGTCTGCCCCGCCAACGCGAGCTCAGCCCGGGGCAGGTACCAGCTGCACTAAGATTTCTGTCCTCAAACCCGCTGCCTTGCAGCTGGAAAACTCTCTGGAGCTGCTGGAACAGCACAGAAATAACAAACCCCATTCTTTGCCTACCACAGTTTGCTCTTCCAAGCCTTAAAGATGTATGGGACAGGCCAGGTGGTGTTTGTACCCTCCCTTTGAGCTTTAAAATCCCTAGCGTGTTTTCAGCATTACATCTTTCGGGTCCAGAGCCATGGAATAAAAGAGTGCCTTCTCCCAGGAGATGATCTGTTGCACAATGAATTACATTAAAACCAAATTGTTACCCCACAGGGCAGGGATCACACAACTTAAAGAGATGTTAACAAGCCGTGACAAACCTCTGGCATAAGAATTTTCAAGCAAGCTGTTCTGCATCTAAAGCAGTCACTAAAGATCACACAGCATCTGAAAAATGAAGGATACAGCAATGAGTAACCTCTCTCTGCTCCACTCCAGAGACCTGGCTATAGGAAGCAGGGCTGTGATTTGCACACTATCTGAACCTGATTATGTCTAATTTTTTGCATACAGAGCATGGAAAGGATCCTGGCTGAGGCATGGAAAATATGTGGCCACATGAGTCATTCTGTAATGGTTCATAAATCCTGAGAGAATCACAAAAGCAAAACATCTAACATTGCATCTTCCCTGTCCCTGCCAGTGGAACTCCACCTCTCGACACGCTCGGCACAAGGATGTGGGAATACGGTGAAAGCAAAGGAAATAGGATCATTTTCTCCTTGGAATAGAAGAATCTCATCAAAGAGCAGCCAGGCTCAGATTTGCAACCTTCACAGAAGAGGCCATTCATAAGCTGAGGAGAAAGAAACGAGCTGCTCCTTGGGTTGCCAAACCAAATTTACAGTTCCTACTGCCCCGACTCCAGCTTCTGTCCTCACTCCCTTGCAGAGCCAGGCGGGCACCAGAGAGCAAAAGCCGAAAAACCAGCAGCCCCTCAAGCTGTGACCTCCCAGCCCACCGCCCTACCCGCTCGATGACCACTGGGAAGCGCGCACTCACACCGGGGCTCTTACACAGGCGAGGGGTGAGGACCTGGGACTTGCCCAGCAACGCCGAGCAAGGCAGAGCACGGAGGGGACTTGCACTCTCAAGGAGCTAGAGAAGGGGGAACCAAGCAGCAAAGGATCTTAAAGGTCCGGGGAACATCTGCCCATCCCTCCTACAGCATTCCTAAATTGTCTTCTCCACGCTGCCAGCAGGTATGTGGCAGCAGCACACTGCAGCTCCAGGCTCTTAGCTAACGGTGCTCAGCCCTCTTGGGGCTTTACTGGGTGGAGGCTGCACATCTCTGGAAAAACACAACCCAGCTCTGCTTGGGCGAGAGCGACTGAAATTCCCCATTATCTACCCAAGAGCAGAGACTTCCTGCACGGCCTCGTCAGGCCCCTTTCCTGCTGGATGGAGCTGCTCTCCCTCTTTCTGGGAGTTTATCAGCGGAAGCAGCTCCTCTCCCTCAAGCCCTGAGCCCTTGCACTTATCCTCTGTATGTCACGGCACCCCAGGCTGGTGCTAGTGCAGATTCTTTCAAATACAAATAGCTCCGACCCAGAGGACTTTAAATCAACCCCCCGCAGTGGGATCAAGAAGGAAGGTGCAGGAGTTTCGTCCCCTGTTTAGCCAGAGAAGGAGCAGAAATGAAGAAACAAGAGAGTTCTGAAAGGTCCAGCCTCATCTGGGGACTGCAAGGCAGACACTGAAAACCCTCAGCTGCCACAACAAGAGGCTCTTGCGTAATCCCCTGGGAGCAGGGGAGGTTCCTCTGGATCCGCAGCTCTTCTGCACTTCATTTTATGTTTCTGTGAGGGGACAATATCTCCTCAGTTTGCACCACCAGAAAGCATTTTGGCTCAGGGTGTGGGGAAAGACCTCGAGCCTCACGCAGAGCCGCTTGGATCTCTCTTGGGTGGAGGGATGCTTGACATAGGAGGTCGGAAGTTCAGTTTACTCTAAACCAAATTCAAACTGCATCAAATCTGACCACAGCTGTTATTTCCAGAAATATTCTGGAGCCGGAAAGAGGCCCAAGTGAGTCACTTGAGCCATTGTCTAGCTCTGACGATGAAGCACGGCCCCAACACGCTGGATCTGGGTCCTCACGCCCCTCCCAGTCCCGAGTCCCTGCCTGGGTAACACACACTCGTGTGTGTCGTGACAGCCCCCCATACGCCGCATCCTTCACGGGCTAAGCCTGGTGCTTCCGTGAGTTAAGGACTAAGAGAAGGAAACGCATAAGCAGGGTCACTAATACTGCCTTTCCCACACAGCTCCGAGCTCACAGAGCCGCCAGATCCTGCACCAGAATGGAGACCCTCGGGACTGGGCGGCTCTCGCAGGGGCTGGTGCTGTGCTGTGCCTTTTGGGGACTCTGCCTGGCTTCTCCAGACTATGATGGTGAGTGTGTATCTTCGGGTGAAAAATTGCTGTTTCTTACAGTACTGCGTATTTAATATCTTCATAATAACCTGAAAACTCATTTTTTAAAGCTATCAGACGGGAGCACGCTCTAATTGAGCTTTGCCCATACTCTAGTTGAAGCAGGAGACAATATAAAGTGATGCAAAAGAGAAAAAAAACTGGGGTGGAAGAAACTAGACAGAGAAAGAAAAAATAGAGAATTAAACCAGAGAGCACATAAAAGCAAAACCTTTAGTTAAAAGTTAAGACTCCCACAACCATGAGTTTA